ATATTTCCAGAAGATCTCTCAACCACTTCACTTTTTCGAAAAAAAAAAACTCTGCAAGAAGAGTTCACGAGCTGCCGCGAGCTAATATGTCCTTTCATATCAGGAATCCGGAGACGACTAACGATTCTCATCGAACAAGTGTGCATAGGTTAGGGAGATGACTGATTGAGGTAAACTAGTATGACAAAGATGGAAAATGATAGAAGGGATGAAATTAAATGATAATTGTATAACTGTGAAATGACATCTTTCAGGATTTGAATGATTATCTTCAAATTTCCATCTTTAAATTTCAATCTTGTCCCATTTCGAATCGAAAAGATAACCTTTATGAAACAAAAAGAAATTTGAAAGGATGACCTGTTTCACGTTGAAAACGTGAATATTTCACTTTCATCAGATGACATTTCGTGGTTGAAATATTTCATTTGGCGGTAATAAGAAGTTTTCAAATAGAGCCTTGTATAACTGGACTTTTCTCGGTGTATTTTGGTCATGAATTCGGAGAGTCCTATACTATATTTTGAAACAATAGAATATTCAGAGATTATACACTTCCTCGTAAATTGGTCTTGACGTTTATCAGAAAAAGTTAAGTGGCGATCAGTTTGGCTCGATTTATTTCTTGACGGTTTTCATGCCGATGGGTGAATTATAATTGTTGGAAGTTATTCATAAAAACTAGATAATTCAATATCTGCTTACCTGAATGAGTTAAAATGAGAAAAATACTACAGCAGAAGAAGGACATCATTTTGAGTTCACAGCAGATCCAGTAACCCACTCACAAAATAATGTATTTTAATGATCACATGTCTTAACTCAATCATGATGCAAACAGTTTCTCATGGAGATATATCTCCCAATATTCATCAATATATCAATCTACTGAAAAAAAGTTGGGCTGCTAATCATTCATGGAAGTTCGAAACAGTGCGAGTTCTCATCCACGTGAGTTAACACCGGAGTATTCCCGCATATTGTCTGGTGATGCAACCTACGACACGACTTCTGGATGACTGCGATCCAGTTGGCCAGAAGGGCTTCCTTGACATGCGCGCACTATCTAAATTCCTTCCTGGATCAGGACGGAAACGGCAAACAGTGAACAATAAATAATAATCCGACTGATGGATATGTTTCCACGTGACAAATATTGATACACAGCATGTTTGCTATCTGTTTCCAGGTGCATAGTTGATGCATACTGATCCACAGCGTCTGTTGATCCATCAGATTCCTGCCAACTCAGAGGATCAATGCAATTTCAGCTAACTAGTATTTATAGTGAAATCAAAAAACTTGCCCACATAATAATTCTCAATTATAACGACATGAATATCTTCCACTAATTTGACACCATCAATCATTCGACCACTGCTTAATTTTCCCTGATCAACACCAACTCAGCATGCCTGATTCAACCTGGTTCAACCATTTTCATGAAGTTCCCAATATGTATACTCGGTGTCATCAACCCAATATCATCTCATGAGAAAATATGGTCGGATCGATTACAAAACCTGCTTGGATTCGCAATTCGTGCACAACAGTTCTTCAAACCTCAACGTTGTAAATTATTTTTAAAACAAATATTGAGACCATTCGAGAATATTGGTTCCAATGAATATATTTTCAGTTTATCTTTTGGAGCATACAGAAGAAAATTCCTCCGATGTTCGTGGAAAATTGCACCCAAAAATACGCAGACACGCACTTTTTTCTTGACATAATTTATGTTTATATTTGATAAAGGAAACCATTCACTTCTTCAAAAAACTATTCTTTGCATTTCAATATACTCCTTTCTGATTGGTTGCAGTATTATTGATGCTAATCGAAAACATTACGTTCTCGTTTTTGTATTTCGGTAGTTGATTGACAACTGGATACATACCAGCGGTGTATCCGTTTTCGTAGAGGCTTTCTTATCGGTAATCCAACTGGGAAGAACACGCATTAACTGACCAGCAGTGGTAAGAAGAATATCATGAATGTCGTATTTTCTCTTCTAAGTTATTTTCAATGTCAGATGGAATTGAGACGAAAACTCACTTTTAATATAAATGAACCAATATTGTATAATCGGCATTCCGGAGAAACTTCTGATCAATCTCAACTCTCAAGTGACAGCGATGACCATCATATAATTTTTAATAATGGGATTATGGCTATTCTGAATTTTTTGATATATTTATTGCAAGTTGAATAACGCGAACACTGCGAATCGTAATGAATGGAAATATTGAGTGGAAAATGTTGTTCTATTCATTACATGAGCCGAAAATATTGAACTTTTTGCATTGGAGATCATCAATAATTCCTTCAATTCTCAGAAACAAATTATGATCCTTCAGAAAATCGAACTCGACAAGTATAGTTAATATATCATCTTGTCCACTCCCTAATATGTTGAATAACCCTCTGCCCAATCTCGTTTATCTATAGAAGGACGAAGGTATGGGTTTCTGACTTTGTTTTTTCTTTATAACGCTTGGTGTGCACAGAAGCGAATTACTTCAAAATGTTGAATAACTCGAATATCGAACCTATCCCCTAATCTTTTATAAGGACGCACAATGTATCACGAAAATAATTGGGATTTCGTTTCGTGCGCTCGAAAAAATTGAAAACAAAAACTGTCGAATCTTAAGGGAGCAATCGACTTCTAATATGTTATCGATGCTTTCTTGAAGTCATTGTGCCAGTATAAAATGTAGACGCGTTGCAGAAATCATCTTGACTTCAGTTCCACGAGTCAATCAGTGGGGAATCATAATTTTACTTGTTCAAGTGTTCGAATCTCAGATATCTAATGAATCTGAATGATGCAATGATTCATAATTTGCGAAACTTCTGCCTCGGAGAAAACTCAGATCAATTTAGTCCTGAAGATTCCATCATTTCGCTTCGTTTTTCTTATGGGGTGATGATGAACAATCTCGTGAAATAATTATGGATTTTTCGAATAAAACATATTCAGTGATATTGTCTGTATGTTAATCGAAAAGGTGGTGAGTACATTCATTTTACTTGATTATCTAGGAATATTTCTCCCCGTTTATATAAAATAAGCGTTAGCTTGATAGAAAATAGCGATTGATGAACTCGAAGTCAATGATATAACTTGAAGAATATTCACACTAGTATTTCTTGTTGAAATAGATGATGCCTTGAAATTGTTATTTCGGAATCAATTCATAACGGTGCGTCGGTTACTAGTAAAGCTAATGTGCAAGTATCCCCAGTGAACAATCATCATTACATCTTGATCACGACCCCCGTCAAGAAATTGTTATTGTTACGCAATAATGATTTAATGATCAATTCCTCATTGTGGATGATATGGATATATGGCCATAAGAGTATTGCGTGTCATAAACTATGTATTTACAGAATAGTGCCCAGATAGTCACCACACAAATTTCATCGAATTCGTGGATATGATCCATTACATCGTGAATTCTCCATTTCGTGAATATTTCGCTATATCTCGTAACTACTGTTTTATCAAAAATACCATCGGTTCCCATTCGATGCTCGGACATAAATTAGATTTAGGGCAAAGGTGAATTGAAGTTTTTCGAGGCTTGACAATGATTAATTAAGCGTCAGGACATGCCCAATATGAAAAATATTAGGTTTGTATGTTAGGCCGATAACCAACGGGTTGGAATATAACACTCGATTCATGGTATTGAGAAAATTCATTGATAATCATAGTTCCAGTGAGTGAAATGTGATATGTCAAAGCTTACAATGGACATGGTCGGTTTCATCAACAAGAAATAAACTGTTAAAACAAAACTCATTCGATTCGAAGGTAAAATCATTATAGGAGAATAAGCATATTCTGATTGAAAAGAAAACATCGATATCACTCGTTGAATATCTATCATTTGATTTCATTTTGGGACTGTGAGAATATCTACAAACGTAGGAAGTGGATATATCGAAAAAATACGACTGTGTTTGGCATTCAGAACAATTGCATAAACTACCATCATACGGCTTACCACCTCAGCAATGTCATATTGTAACGATTTTTTTTCTGACAAATCACTGCATCAATTCCGGCGTTTCACAAGGATCGAATTTGTCACCAACATTGGTCATACTTCATTTCAATAATCCATTGAGAGCAACCACTTGCTCTATCCACAGCTTCGCAGACGACAGTACTCTCCATATTGTGTTATCTTCTTGAAATCCCATTGCTTCCCAAGAAACTAGGAACTCGAACTTGACGGTAGATCAACGCTGTCAATGAAGATCTTGCTGAAATCACAGCCTGGAAAACCAACAATCTATTTGAATTCAATGCCATCAAATCTCAAGCCTGTTTCACCTCTAAAAAGGTAGATATCAGAATGCCCGATATTACACTGTCGGTACCACTAACACCAAGACTCCTTCATCGATGCTTGGCATTTCCATCAGCAAAACTCGTTCATGGAGAAAATATGTCCGATCCATCGCGAAAGCTGCATCACAAAATCTCGGATGTTTATCACGTACTTCATACCTCAACATCATCTCATCAGCTATAGAACTCAGATACGGCCAGTTTTTGGATACTGTTTCCACAAATGGGGTTCAGCACACGAACATACATTGATGATCTAAGATTCCATCCAGAGAAGAGCCATCTGCCTGGTGAGTTATGCCACATTCACTAATACTCTAACTTCATTAAAACACCGTAAAAAATTTGACGACCTTCAACTTCTCAAAAGATACTTTCATGAGGAATGTTCCTCAGAAATCTCTGCTATAACCTACGGAAGTTCAAATGGAATTACAATACCTACCCCCTTTACCTATTCTCCCTTGGTACGCACGATGTTCTCCGAATATCATTGGAAAATTTCTTTCGCTCCAAGAGATGTAAGAAATCATATCCCCATGCCATTTTCAACTTATTGTGATCATCAATGAATCATTATGATAAAAAGGTATGAGTGAAACGATTCTGATTTGAAATATAACATATATTTCATCATCAATTCAACAATTTTTGTCAACCAAGTTCATAGTCCAAAATTGAGAAGAGCCCTATGAGCCCATCATCTAATGTACATTGCGAATATAGTGTATGACATTCCACACCATATTCTCCAGCTCTTTGAGCTTCCATATAACTGGGATCCATGTTCGAGTCTCCTGCTTCATTGCCATAGTTTGGGCTAAAAAATTCAAAAAATTAGTTTATCTCTTCGAGCTGAATCCTCGAACATTTCAACAAACTCAGGGGATCTACTCATATTTTCTTCGATTGCTGTTTCATAAATTCGTATGTTCCCTTTGATAACATTTTGTTTGTTTTTTTCTTAATGATCAGCGATACTCCTACTGCTATTTATCATCAAGCACTGAGCTCTGGAACAATATGTACTTGAAGAATTTTCAAGGTCCCATTCATCAAAAATCATGACATATACACCTGTCAACTCATATAAGAATTCTAATTTGGATCGAGAACGCAATGAGTTCTCGAATTCATGGGGAAATAAATAGTTATATGTGTTCGTTCTGGAAAAATATAATTTCCAATCTTGAATCAGGTGGCACACAAGAACATCTCTTTCCAATGAATATATAGATGATTCCCTGAAATTTTTTGTTCACTATTCTTTCATAGCACCTATATCGGAAGAGATGGAAGGTCGGGATCGAATTATGTAAGTTGACCATATTCATAGACATGTATTTTGTGCAGTTTTTGGAATGTTGAAAGATTTCATTACCTGGGATAAAAAATCACGATTGTTAGGCAGCTCAATTTTTTTTTTCGAATCAAAGTTACCGAACGGCACAACATCTGCAGGACTTGTTGAAACTTATCAATTGAAATCAGATACTTCACTTGGTATAGTACCATACCATATTTTCAGTTGAATAGTACCTATGTTACTACGATCATATGAATAATCAGAATGATCGTATAATCAACTGATACCTAGGATACAGAGCGATTCTGACATATTGAAATATGACTACATAATATACAGTTTGGGAATATATGATGAAATAAAATCCGTTTATCCATAATATTCCTAGAAGGAGATGAGTTGAACCGTGTTTTGATTCATATTTGGATGTGTCATATATGCAAGAGAGCAATCGAAAGAGTCAAGATCAATTCACCAACATTTGGAGTGAGTTTTCTATACTGAATGTCCCTCTACGTCTCCGTGTACGTCTCCGTATAATGAAACAGTAACAACCATCACAAATATGTTGCAGAATAATTACGATAGATTTGAAATTTTCCAAATGCTCCCTTGCGAATATGGCTCAATCGAATGAAAAAACCAAAATAATGAATCGATTTATATTACCTTCCTAGAAAAGTGTGATTTCACCCCTAGTACAATAATACGAATTTTGATGAGTGGATTTGAAGAGAGGAGGATTGACAGATGGTCGAAACAATTTATATTATGAAGAAGTGAAATCAACCTGCTCGAAGAGTTTTTCAATTATATTTTCGTTATGCAGATGCGCATTTCATTCCATTATATTGAAATTCACTTAAAATTATGAAGTCTATTTGCCGTATTCAACTCAATTGGGATTCACATCTCGAAATCATTTGTATTCTTCCTCATCGCCTCTATGTATGGAAATCCTTGAGATATTTCAATATATTTTTAGTACATACGACTCCAAAAGCTTGCCATTGAAAATTATGTCGCTTGGAGTTTTTTCTAATAGGGCACCCATCATAAAAATCAGATAGTCATCAGTGACACCTTGCTTGGTTTGATATCTGATTACCAAAAAATATTCAAATTCTTGAGAGTATTTGTTGACAAAAACAATGCTCAATTCAGATTGGGTGTTGCACAGCCTGCAGACTCTTTGATATATCCTCACTCAACATGTTTGATCCTGGCAGCCTGATGAGAACGAAGACAGGCCATGTCTTCGAAGCGGAAACAAGTCAATGTGTATTGATGAAGTCAGAATGATTATGCCCCGCGTATATCTGTCATTTTTTCTGCTGGTCGACTGGCTTCCAACCTATATACCGATATTTCTTTTTCAGATCTGTATTTCAACTTGATGAGAAGCAATCTGAAAGTCTTCGTTCAGGAGGATGCAAGCGAATAATTTATTTTCTCACTTTGGTCATTACTTTTCTCTCCTATAATATATGCGGAAGAGGAGTAAGAGCTTTGTCCGAAAACCCCTACATTGCATACACTTTCATCCTGAATTATTACACTGGACAAAAACATAAGTGTATAATAGTGCAGCGTTAACAGAGTAGCAATCTTTGCAATGCGGCAGGAGATATTGTAGGAAGTGTAGTGTACGATTTTCTCTGTGGATCCTGTGTTGACCTCACTTTTATAATGTCAGCCGCGCTGTCAGTCTAGTTTAGGGTGCTTGTGGGCGGTTTGGTCACTAAAAAAAGAGATCGGATCGACTTGCGAAAAGCAAGAGGAAATGAGATTCATTGTTCATACATGAATGTTCTATAGGGAAATGGAACTTAACCAATACAAGGACTATGAGGTGAATGAGGATTCTTATGTGGTGAATGAAAATGAAATAAACAGCATTTTGATGTTGATGAACAAAATATGTAGCTCGAACAGAAGAATTGCAATACAAAGAATCGAGTTATCAGAATGAGGAGACCGTATAGAAAAAGTTTCAGCTCGAGTTGTTATGTATCAGTATCAGTTGATTCACAATATCTTCTTCCAAACGATAGAACACTGTGGATGGATTGTCGACGAATTCTACTGATTTTCTCTTGGTCAAGGATGAATATGCTCGAGATTTTTCTTTTCAACGATCGAATCCTCTTTCGACTCGGGTTCTGATGATCCTTCGGAATCGTCAGAGAATTTGAAAGTATGCTCTGTAATTTTATGTCAGAAAATATTCAACATTCAGAACCAACACCACTATATTTCAAGGTTAAAGCAGATACACCATACAAAATTACGATACAGAACACTTCACTTGTAAGAATTTTCTTCATTTTTAAACGTCCTTCATCAGGACAGAACAGATAGAATCGTTTTTGAAACAAGATTCCTCGGAAAAACTATTTGCTACTACTGATGTTCGATTCGATATACTTCTGATAATTCGCTTTGGTGCACCAACTTCTAATGCCCTAATATAAACATAATAACATGCATCGTCTCAAACGAAACTATCTACCCTGCCGAATCAAGTCATTCTCCTGGTGTCACCATCTGCGAAGTCACCAAGCTTGGTCTCTTGATATAGGAATCCACTGACCTGGTCTTGCATGAATAAATGTATGTTCGTGTCACCACAATATTACAAGTGGAATCAGGAACGATGTAATATACTTCCTGCTTTCTGCTTTTTTCGTGGAAAACCCAGTACTGGCTGTCCGGTATTTCTCTAATCTGGCGTAATCTGGTACCACTGGTGTGAACAACCAACACTCTTTCTATGTCTATATATTTTCTCTGAATGGTGTGAACAGCCAACATTTTTTTTCCGTCTATATTTTGCCTACCTCTGGGAAATCTCCTAATTTGTGTACTGTCTCCGTGACAAAATCATTTCTTTTCATTTCTCTATACCTACCTACTTCTCTGATCTATCAATTGATTTGACATATTCTTGAACGAATGATATGAATATACGTATAGACAACACTCAAATAAGCCGTTGCAATGCCCCAACAAATTATTGAAATCATGCAATCACATGAAATAATTTGATACGTTGCAATGCCTTACAAGACTGTTACCAAGAATTATACCTCAGAACTATGAATATTCCATAACATCTGAATCAAATTATATCGAATTGAATTATCATTGGAATATCTGATCGAACAGTTTCAACTTTCGATGTTACTCCTCGTTTGAAATTCTCTTCATTTTTTCTCGAGAATTGAGTACCATTATCTGCTGAAATCCTATATGGCCCACGTCTGTTGATGAAATATGATTTTTCCAATTTATCAATGATGGAATTTATTGCTGTTGCTGTTCTAATAGAGTACAAAACCACATATTCTGTGAATACTTCCGATATAACAAGAATATATTTCATCCCCCCTGTACTTGTTGGTAGTGGTCCAAATATATCACGAGCGATCAGTTAATTCTCATGATTTGGTATATTTGATTTCAACAACCGTTGCATTCATTAAGTTGAGATTCTTGACTGTTGACAAAATTCACAATATTATACAATTGTCTTTATCATTTCTTCCTAGATGAAATTATTTGATATTGCTTTGTATATTTTCCAATGTCCAGAATGACCCAGATATACCTGATGCGTACACAATTCCACTTAAAGGTCTTTTGATAGCCTAGTAAAACGGTTTCGATGATGATCCTCTCGTGAAACTAATTGGAGTTGTCGATTTCTCTGGGATTTCCTATGTTTCTGGAGGTACTGAATCTGATTCAATCATTTGTAATGGAAGTTTCCTGAAACGTTCTGAAGTATTCGCAGAACATAGTGACATTTTCTCCATTCCTCTTTTCAATGTCAGTGATTCGGATAAATCCACCACATAAAAAGACAGAGTAGATGAAATCTTCTATATATGATGTTTTTGCACATGAATGTGAGACTAACAAGTTGGCAGCTAGGGCAAGTTGGAAATATTCCAAAATCAGCGTATTTTGCGAAGAATATTGTTCTCTGTCGATTCGCGTAAATAATTCATAGTAAACGCACTTTTACTCCATCTGACGTGAAGTTGACATAGCCAAACGATTCTCAGCTCATGTCATTAATGAACTCTATCCACGATTCGTCTCACTACTCAAGTGAATTCACATCAACTAGGTTAAATGATATTTTTCACACATTTTCTATTTGTAGCAGAAAAAAAAAACAAGTTGCTCTCATATACCATAGACGATCGAAGATGGAAGTACCCTGGAGGAAACACGACCTGATTCAGCTGCACCATCTCCATTCTCAGTCCCATATCTTTCAGAATACCAGCCCCCTACGCCAAAAAACCATGAGGTAACAATCAGATTGTAGATTGTAGCGATTGCGCTTATCTTGGTCATCAATTAATACAGACTTTTGATGAAACCTATGATTTTCGTATCCGTTGATCTTTTCACCTCAACAGCCATCGAGTAAACCTGTTCTGAGTGAGTCAGCTATGAGTGGACTAGTAGATAACATAAATAATTATCGTTTTTGCCCGTGG